ACGCCTCGCCTGAGACATCCTCGGAAACTGCTCCGAAAGAGAAGGATGCTGTGCACGCAATCAGGCAAACCGCCTGAGACATCCCCCCAATCTGGGCGCGAAAGGGGCCGTGCAATACCCCCTGGCGTCCCCCCCCCCTCGGGAGTGCTGAAACCAGGGCCTCGCTTGAGACATCCTCGGAAACTGCTCCGAAAGAGAAGGATGTTGGGCACCCAAACAGGCAAACCGACTGAGACATCCCCCAATCTGGGCGCGACCCCCCTTGGGAGTACTGAAACCAGCGCCTCGCCTGAGACATCCTCTGAAACTGCTCCAAAAGCGGAAGATGTCGGGCACCGAAACAAACAAACCGCTCGAGACATCCCCACAATTTCGGCGCGAACGGACGAATGCAATACCCCTTGGCGGCTCCCCCTTGGAGGCGAAAAGGAACGCCTCGCTCAAAAACATCCTCCAAATCTGCTCCGAAAGCGGCGGATGTCGGAAACCAAGACAGGCAAACCGCTCGAGACATCCCCGCCAGTTTGGCGCGAAAGGAAGAGTGCAATACCCCCTGGCGGCCCCGCCTTAGAGGCGAAAGTGAGCGCCTCGCTCGAGACATCCTCCAAATCTGGTCCGAAAGCAGAGGATGTCGGACACCAAAACAGGCAAACCACTCGAGACATCCCCGCCATTTGGGCGCGAACGGAGGAGTGCAATACCCCCTGGCGCCTCCCTCGGGAGTACTGAAACCAGCGCCTCGCCTGAGACATCCTCACAACGTGTGTGTGAGTCTGAGCGCGGAAGTACCAGGAGTGTGAGTGAGTCTGCATATGAGTGATCCCGAGCATGAGAAACCTGAGTATCAAGAATCTAGGAGCGAGAGTATCTGAGTATGAGTGAGTCTGAATATGAATGAGTCTACATGTGAGTGAGTCAAAGAATGATGACCTGAGGGTGGGAGATGTTGCTGATGAGAGGTGTGTTCTCTCTCTCTCTCTCTCGCGCTCCGTGCGGTCTAAGTAATATCAAGAGCCCCATCCTTAGGATATGGGGAAAATGAATGAGCCCGTCGCAAGCCAACCGACAACCAGAGTAAAGGCTTGCGAGCTCTACTTCAACATAGCCCCGAGGCGTAGTGAATGTCGCTGGTCGGCTGTGGGACGAGCTGATGAGATCATTCTGCGAGCCCGTCGCAAGCGAGCTGACAATCAGAAGAAAGGCGTGCAGACTCTACCTCAACAGAGACCCGAGGCTCTGGGAATGCGGCCAATCAGCCATAGCGCGAGGCAAAAACAAAATGAATAAGCCCGTCGCAAGCCAACCGGCAACCGGAGTACAGGCTTGCGAGCTCTACTTCAACATAGCCCCGAGGCGTGGTGAATATCGCTGGTCGGCTGTGGGACGGGCTTATGAGATCATTATGCGAGCCCGTCGCAAGCGAGCTGACTACCAGAAGAGAGGCGTGCGAACTCTACCTCAACAGAGCCCCGAGGCTCTGGGAATACGGCCGATCAGTTATAGCACGAGGCAGAAACAAAATGAATGAGCCCATCTCAAGCCAACCGGCAACCAGAGTAAAGGCTTGCGAGCTCTACTTCAACATAGCCCCGAGGCGTAGTGAATATCACTGGTCGGCCATAGAACGAGCTGATGAGAGCATTCTACGAACCCGTCGCTTGCCAAACGACAACCAGAAGAAAGGCGTGCGAACTCTACCTCAACAGAGCCCCGGGGCTCTAAGAACGAGGCCAATCAGCCATAGAATGAATAAGCCCGTCGCAAGCCAACCGACAACTGGAGGAAAGGCTTGCGAGCTCTGCTTCACCATAGCCCCGAGGCGTAGTGAATGTCCCTGGTCGGCCATAGTACGAGCTGATGAGAGCATTCTACGAGCCCGTCGCAAGCCAACTGACAACCAGAATTCACTGGCCCAACGGGCCATGGGCGTGCTAAAATCTCCGGCTACACGTTTAACAACTTCTAGTTCGCGCACGCGCGTGGCGGCCTCTGGGAGTCCTGGAACGAAAAATACCCTGGCCGAAACCCGGGAGACTCCCGGCAAGGTCCCCGCAAGGTCCCCCAGAGCGCCCCAGACGCACCCCTGACGGTCCAAGAGGCCCCGAGTCGCCGAAAGATTGTTCCAAGACGCCCAAGATGGCCTCCAGACAGCTCAAAACTGCCCCAGAGGCCCTCGAAATCATCCCAAGACGGCCCAACATGCCCCCAAGATGAGCCCAAGACGGCCCCTGAGCGCTGAAAGAGAGCCCGGAAGGCTCCTCAAGGCGGCTCCAGAGGCTTCCAGGAAAGCCCAAATCAGTACTCTGGGCTGCCATGTCCAGCCCTTTCCCACGAGATCGCTCACGAGACCGCCAGCAGGGCCCCAAGAAGCTCCCAAAGGCTCCAAAATACTGGCCAAAGAAGCCCCCAAGAGGCGTCCAAGGGGCCTCCCAAGGGACCCCCCGAGAACCATCCAATTGACTCCAAGAAGCCTCGTAAAGAGGCGTCTTGTCCACGACCACGTTTGGCCCCAAGATGCCTTCGAGAGGCCTCCTCCTTGTCCTCCTCCTCGGAGGCCCTTCGCCAGGCCACCGCGGGCCCCGTGGGCCGTCCCAGGAGCATCTTCACGGGGCGCCGCGCGGGCCAAGGAACGGGGGGGGGAGAAGCCCCCCCCCTGCGGGAGGACAGCGCCCTCCTCCTCCTCCTCCTCCTCCTCCTCCTCCTCCTCCTCCTCCTCATCATCATCATCATCATCATCATCATCATCATCATCATCATCATCATCATCATCATCATCATCATCATCATCATCATCATCATCATCATCATCATCATCATCATCATCATCATCATCATCATATCATCATCATCATCATCATCATCATCATCATCATCATCATCATCATCATCATCATCATCATCATCATCATCATCATCATCATCATCATCATCATCATCATCATCATAATCATCATCATCATCATCACATCATCACCACCACCACCACCATCATTCATCATCATCATCGTCGTCGTCATCATCATCATCATCATCATCGTCATCATCATCATCATCATCATCATCATCATCATCATCAATCATCATCATCATCATCATCATCATCATCATCATCATCAGCATCATCATCATCATCATCATCATCATCATCATCATCATCATCATCATCATCATCATCATCATCATCATCATCATCATCTTCATCACCACCACGAGCACACCAACGATGACGGCCTCCAAACAAGCCCGCCGAAACCACTACATAGGAACCAACAACGCAACATGAGCAACGAACGCGCAGGCGAAGGCCAACGATGCTACAATATGGGCCGGCGGAATCGTTGTGCACAGATATATACGATTTTTTGGATGGCTTGGCGGAATGAGCGAAGCGATTAGATAAAGAATTGCGACCTCTCGGCTAGAGGCGACTGAGAGCACCAGTTGAACAGAAGGACAAGGAGGGAAGAGGACGGAAACGCGGAGCGGAGGACACATACTGCTATGTAGTTGTCTGACAAACTCCAAAAGCAAGCAAATACGGGCACAGAACAAGAGGCGATCGCCCAAGGATGGCCTCGTTCAGTGCTGCAGAAAGACACGGTGGAAACAGAAGAGCACATGAAGCAGCAGGTGCATGGGAGGTGAGGCGAGGCTAGCTCCTACTCAAGTGACGCATGCTCACGTAACTCGCTAGGGCCGCACGACTCGGAAAACCTGAATAGAACCTGCCATGTAGCAGAAGCTACATGGCCATGGCCAGCACACTTCGGCACCCAAGAAGAAGTTCCAGTCCTTGTGGCTGGTCCAGCACTCTATCTTGGCCCAAAGCTTGACGACCGAAAACACCGAACGCCACGCCTTACCGTACACTCGGAAGTCGCAGGCGTAGTTGCAATGCCTGCTACCTCCCCCTCCACCAACGTCGGCGGCGGTGGCGGCTTTCCCAGCAGTGGGTCGCGTAATTGCAATGCCGGCGCCAACGTCCAGCCCAACCTGAGCCGCCGTGAATGAGAAGATGCCAAAACCCAGGCCGACGGACTTCACAATTGACACATGACCGTAGATCGTGAATGGGATCTTGTTCCCGCAGTTCCTTGCCCAGGAGAAGGTGATACCGCTGAAGATGCAGACGCTGCCGTCGCATGGCTTCGGCACAGAAAAGTTTCACGCCTCGATGCACCTCCTCCACCTCCTCCTCCTCCTCCTCCTCCTCCTCCTCCTCCTCTTCCTCCTCCTACTCCTCTTCATCCTCCTCATTTTCCTCCTCCTCCTCCGCCTCCTCCTCCTCCCCTCCTCCCCGAACGACGACGACGACGACGACCCGAGGACGATCCACCCACCTCTGACGTAGGCATGCTCGCCCGCTGCGCCTGGCCGGGCCAGTGCAGCTGCCCCCAGGCACCGAGCGGAGCCGAGGGGCTGCGGGGAGCGGGAGCGCCACGTGCTCCGTTGTTGTCTCGGCTGCGCGTGTCGGCCGTTTCATACAATCCACAATTCACCTTCTGCGGTAACGCATGGGAGCCTCCCACACCATCTTTCTGGCTCTTGCGAATCGACGCTAAATCGGCGCTTCCCCATCGATTGCATACGCTGGCGCGCGCTGACGCACCCCTTATGAAGATGGAACTGCGAAGACATACGAGGCTCCCAAGAATTGTTACCAAATCCTTCTGCAGTACCATGTCCGTCCGCCTCTGGTGTCCCAGGATCAGCCGCAGCATGCGTCGCTGCGGCTTCCTCTCCATGGATGCGGTCATCGTCCAGGTCGCTGCGCCGCGCAGCACTGCGGGCTTGACGACTACGTCGAATACGCTCAGACGATCGTTCAAAGAGTATCCGCGCCCATGCCAGTGCACCGCAAAGACGTCATCCCCACGACTGATGGCCCAAATCTCTGGCGATACCCTCGTTCCAATCTTCGCGGTTTTCCTCGATTCCGGCCTCTGGGGCCCACCATCGGGCTCCGGGACCAAAGGAAACGGATCCGGGACGAAGAACTGATCCAAGGAAAGGGGTCGGGACCTCTGGGATCGCGCACTGAAACAATCATACCGGCGGATGTCACGGACTGCTGATGACGGCGTTGTCGATGCTGCCACTGGCGTCGAAGATAGAATTTCGCAAATCGAGGACCGCAGGCTTTGAACGCTTCTGTTGCCACTTTTGGATCTCCGCAGGTCCCCAACGCCTGAGAGGCCTCTGGGGAGTTGGCTCTGAAACTGGGTGGTTGCGAAATCATTATCCCCGCAACCCTGTGACAACCCTGCGACTCCGCAACCCCGCGACCCCGCGACACCGCGACCTCGCAAGTCTCCAACCCCGCAACACCGCGACCCCGCAGCCCCGCAACCCTGTGACCTTGCAACCCTGACTCCGCTACCCGGCGACCCCGAAAGCCCCGCAAACCCGCAACTTCGCAACCCCCAACCCCGCAACCCCCCAACCCCGCAAGCTTGTGACCTTACAGCCCTACGACTCCGCAACCCCGCGATCCCGCGACCCTGTAATCCCGCGACCTCGCAACCTCCCAACCCCGAAACCCTGCGACCCCGCAACCCCGCAACCCCGCAATCCCGCAACATCGCAACACCCAACCCCGCAAACCCGCGACCCCGCAACCCCCCAATCCCGCAGACCTACGTCCTTGCAACCCTACGACTTCGCAAGTCCGCGACCCGGCGACCCCGCAAGCCCGCGACCTCGCAACCCCGCGACCCCGCAAACCCGCGACCCCGCAACCCCCCAACCCCGCAACCGCGAAACCTTGCAACCCTTCGACCCCGCAACCCCGCAACCCCGCGACCCCGCAAGCCCGCGACCCCGCAACCCCGGAACTCCGCGACCCCGCAACCCCGTGATCCCGCAACCCTTTGACCTCGCAACCCCACGACCCCGCAACCCCGCGACCCTGCGACCCCGCAATCCCGCGACCTCGCAAACCCCCCAACCCCCCAACTCCGCGACCCCGCACGCCCCGCAATCCCGCGACCTCGCAACCCCCCCACCCAGCAACCCCGCGACCCCGAACGAAAGAACGAACGCCCGATCGGCTCAGAGGCCACGTCCTGCCACAATCAACGGGGCTAAGAAAATTGGAATGACAACTCGTATTGCAATGGCTATGGCAGGCCATCAATTGTTCGATTGCGCCTGGAAAAGACAATTCAGTTGCCATTCAGACAACGCGCGAGCGCCCTCAAACTCAAATGCGCTTCTCTTTCGACGCAGGGCGCGGAGAAGGGAAGGGGGGAACGGGGGGGGGCAAAAGGGGGGGGAAGGGGGAGGGGCGCAGATAATGCCGGCGCCGCTGCCTACCTCGATCACCCCCTCGTTGCCGGTGCCGCCCGAGCCCTGAGAGGGCGATGCCCTCGGTGGGCCTCGCCCATCACGGCCGGCCCCGTTCGCGAGCTGCTCGAGATAGTTGCGGGGCGCTTCCAGATGCCAGTCGATCCAGCATGTTCTGCCGAGGTCGGTTGCGCAGTTCGTTCCAAGCGACAATCGGGCACTTGAGCAAAGCAACGCTGAGTCGGCCTTACACGCGGCCCCCGGCCTCCACCCACGATTCATCACCCAAGCGGGCCCATCCGACCACGCGACGCATCATGTCCCCCTGCGAAGCATCATTTCTTCCAGGTGGCTCGCTGTCATCGGCGTCGCTGTCAAACTGCGCAGAATCGTCGGTGACAGAACTGCGTTGAACAACTTGAGCCGCAAACGAATGGGGGCCTTCTTGCCCCCCGGCGTCGCACGCAAGAAATGGCACTTCCACCGCGCGCGCGAGATCATGCGAGCCAGATTGGTCGCGCCCCCCTGCCTCCAGTCGCCCGGGAACAGTCTACCCAGGCACCTGCGCGAGGAGATTTTGGGGGCAACTTCGACCATTGATCCTGCGATTTCGACCATGAGCGGCGCCTCGTTGCCCGCGATGTTGCCGTCGGTGGGCGGGGTCTTTGTTTTCGCCCCATTGATAGTCGGCCCCGCCCTGGTCAGCTCGCTTGTCAAGATGCCCACCATCACCGCGGCTTGAATCACAGATCTCCCGAATATCAATAAATCGTCGGCATATCGCAAAGTGGCTAAGCGCTCGTGCTCTGGGCCCAGAAGCAGCCCACTCTGTCCGAGCCTCACTTCCCATCGCACCATGACCGACTCTAGGGCAGAATTGAAAAGCACCGGGCTCAAAGCGCCCACTTGCTGGGCCCCTTCTGCGAATGGAAACAAGTCGTCTCCGACCTTGCCGGTCTGCTGCGCGCGCAGACGCCCCAGAAAGAGGAAGTACTTGCCGTCGATGCACTGCTGTTCCAGAGCCACAAACAAGGCGCTACACTCGACCTCGTCGAGTGCCACGTTCAGATCGACGCCGGCCATCCGCACTGAAGCGCATCATGCGAGAGACTTGCTGGTGACGGACTCAAGAGAATGGGCAATGCGTCATCCGTGCCCTTCTGCGGTCGGGAACCCATCTGCTCCGGGGACTGCTCGCACTCCAATATCGGACCCAAGCGGTTATGTAGCATCTGTGCGAAAATATTGTGCGAAACGTCTAAAACTGCTATCGGTCTCCAGTTGTTCGGGTCAAGAGGGCCACCGGTCTTTGGCAACATGACAAAGATGAGCTCGCCCCACTCCGGCGGCATGTCTCCGGAGCCCAAGATACGATTGTACACATTTAGAAGGGTGCCCTTCGCGGCGCGGCTGCTGTTTTTGAAACTCCCCAGTATCACCCAGCGCCTGTCTTCCGACTTCCCTGTAGCCATCTGCCGGAGAGCCAAAGAAAATTCGTCGATCGCGAGAGGGGAATAAAGGCCAGCAAAGACAAATCGCCAGCTACAGAACCTCCCGTGTCTGACGCATAAACATCCCCCGAGCACGCGGCCAGAGCAGCATTGGAAGGGCGCACAGTGGATTTGCCTCGGAATGGTCCTGAGCAGATCTGGGCAAGCTTCTTCATGTCTCGAAAACTGCCCAATTTCTCCTGCAAGCGCCGGGCCTGCCGATGCCTGAGACGCCCCCGCATGTCGGTCGAGATCAGCTTCGACGGGCGTCTTCTCTCCACCAGGTCTCTGCCGAGGCGCCGGTCAGCACGCATTTTCTTGAGCCCAATGAATCCCATGGCTTGTTCCCCGCGAAACAATGCCCCTGAGCGGCGCCGCTCTCCGCGGCGGCCTGAGACATCAGCGCGCGCGAGCCCCCCGGTGCGCCCGCGCGTCTGCGGTCGCGAGCACGTTGTCCAAGATACCCCCATAAAGTTGCGAACCTTGCCAGCGTGCCTTGCGTTTTCTGGCCCGTCGTCTTCGGAAATCTGGCACTCTCGCCAGTGCTAACACGGCCCGGCGATCAGACCCACAATCAAGATCGCCGGAGGCCTCGCAACTGGCCGCTGCCATGCTCTTGCCCACTATCACATAATCTAACTGGCGCGCGATCCCCAAACTGCTTTTAAAGGTCCACATTTTGCCCCGCGCGTGTTCGCCGTTGTCCGAAGGAACAAACAAATCAAAGTCAACAACAAACTCACGCAATCATTCGCTTCTGTGGCCAACATTCATCTGCGCATTGAAATCGCCACAGATTACAATGTCTGCCCCTGCGCTGCCCCTTCTTTACCGAATCTTCCCAGCGGGAATAGAAATCATTCAGCTCGCGCCCCTCGACCACGCGACCGCGCAACCGAGTCGCGAGACAGCAGGGTCGCGGGGTAGCGAGGTCTCGGGATTCTGCCCTCAACGAAAGAGACTCGAGAGGCCTCAAGGTCGCGGGATTCTGCCCCCCTGGGGAACAGTCGAGGTGCCACGGGGTTGCGGGGTCGCGGGGCTGCGAGATTCTGCTCTCCTGGGAGAGAGTCGAGATGGCACAGGGTCGCGGGATTGCGGGACTTTCCTCCCTGTGAGGGCACCGAGATGGCACAGGGTTGCGGGGTCGCGAAGTTGCGGGGTTCTCCCTTCCGGGAGAGAATCGAAAGGGAACAGGGTTGCGGAGGCGCGGGGTTGCGGGATTCTGCCCTCCTGGGAGATACTCGAGAGACCACGGGGTTGCGGGGTCGCGAGGCTGCGGGATTCTGCTCTCCTGGGAGAGACACGAAAGGCCACAGGGCTGCGGGGTCGCAGAGATGCGGGATTCTCCTCCCTGGGAGAGAATCGAGATTGCACAGGGCTGCGGGGTCGCGGGGTCGCGGGAGCCCCCCCCCTGGGAGAGAGAATCGAAATGGCACAGGGTTGCGGGGTCACGGGCTTGCGGGGCCCTCCTTCCTAGGAGAGAGCGGAGATAGCACAGGCCTGCGGGGTCGCAGGGTTGCAAGGTTCTCCGCCCTGGGAGAGAATCGAGACGGCAAGGGGCTGCGGGGTCGCAGGGATGCTGGGTTCTCCTTCCCAGGAGTGAGTGGAGATGGCACAAAGTTGCGGGGTCGCGGGGTTGCGCGA